AAAAAAAAAAAAAATTGATCTTAGTCAAAACGCTCCGAAGTAAACAGAAAGCAGAGGGTTGTCAGGAGTGGGGATATGAAGGAGATCTCTAAATGAGTTTTTAAAGAGGATAGAACTTTAATTCTGCAAGATGGGAAGCTACATAATGCAGGTTTTACAGTTTTAAAGCGATGTGGCATTGATGCATAGATGGAGAAGATTCCAGAAATGGGTACACATATAGGTGGCCACGATCCGAAGTAAACAGAAAGCAGAGGGTTGTCAGGAGTGGGGATATGAAGGAGATCTCTAAATGAGTTTTTAAAGAGGATAGAACTTTAATTCTGCAAGATGGGAAGCTACATAATGCAGGTTTTACAGTTTTAAAGCGATGTGGCATTGATGCATAGATGGAGAAGATTCCAGAAATGGGTACACATATAGGTGGCCACGAGCCAAGCAATTCTATGGGTAAAAGGTCTTCATCAAATAGCATGGACCACAAACAATGTAAACCCCACTCCTACCGGACTCGAGAAGATGATAGACTTAAAAAGGAAAACTAAAATTCCCAGGTGAAAACTTATGTTGGATAGGTGTGTCCTCTGAAAGAATTGGCAACAGTTGGATGTCTGAACCCTAAGAGACTATAGAAAGGGAGAAAAACAGTAACTCCTCCCACTTAATTACCTTCCCTTAGTGAAGGGTCTAAGGACAGCCTTGATAGAAACCAGGGAGATAGTGGGAGCTTCCCCATCTTGGGCCAACCCAGCAGTGGCCTTGGTTCTAGGAAGCTCAGCTGAGATGTAGGGGAAAAGCCCACAGGTGTCCATGTATATGCCTTTGTCTGTAACCCCCTGCCGGACCTCACAAACGCTAAGAAAATACAAATATCTTTATTCCCTAAACTGTCATTGGGTTGTAAGGACACCGTGGGGCCCTACCCACAAGTGCACAGTACAGGCCTCCCAGAAGTAAATTTACAATTTAGGAGAAAGTTTTCATGAACTTGGAGTAGACAATTATCTGCTTTCTCCTCCCTTCCCGGCCCCCTTTTTCTATCATCTCACCTCTCCCTCATTTCTGGCTTTGAGGATGGAACGCAGAGCCTCATACATGCTAGGCAAGTCCTGTACCATTAAGCTGTATCCCACAGCCGCTTATGAGCGGAGACCCACAAACTGAAACAGGAACAAAAAGCCAGATCAACTCACTTCAAAAATAAAAGCGTCAAAGCGATGTAAAGACAAAGCATTCTCCATTATGTAGCTAGCCAGAGAGTTATACATGAATCTAATAAAGCACCTGGATCCCGAACTTATTAGATCAGAAACTGGATTTAAAAGAGCAAAAAACTTGAAATGAGGTTTGATAAAAGATGCAACATGGCCTGGAAGGATGGAAAAACTACCTGTTCACTCTGAAGCCAAGGTGGCAACCAAGGTCCACAGCCTAGCAGGTTTTGTTTTGTTTAGCTAGTTTGAGTTCTTGCGACATGGTCTTATGTAGCCCAGGCTGGCCTAGAAATCATTATGTAGCTGAAGATGACTGGGATTCTGATCCTCTTGTTTTCCCTCTGAATGGTTGCAGGCGTGCACCACTGTCTTGTTTTGTTTACTTTGTGTTTTGGAATTTGTTTTGCTTTGTTCTGCTTTGACTTTTGTTTTTGAAAAAGTCTCATTAACCCAGGCTCGCCTCGAACTTAAGAGCCATCTTCCAGCCTCAGCCTGGAGGCGTGAGACATCACTCCCGGCTCCCTAAGACTCTTTAAAGAGGGACAAACCGCCGAATTGCAGTGTACCGATGACGGTATCAATCTCGGAAAGAAAATAGGCCAAAAGGCCACCCCGGCTAACTAAACTGCGAATTAACACCCAGGTTCATGCACAGCATAGACAATGCAGAAATCTCGCGATGCTGAGACATGCCTGGATTCACAGTTCCAGAGCGGTGCTGTAGGGGGAGCGCGCACACGTATTTGGACAACTGGCTCGAAGGGGCGGGGTAGGAGGGATCCAACGTGGGAGGAGGGGGTGAACCCGGACCCAGGCATAACGGATACGCCCGAGTTCGCGCTCCGCGCTCACCGCCCTTTCTGGTGGCCGCCCCCTTGGCGAGACTCTGCTCTCGCGATATTTGCCTCTAGTATCGCGGGGTTTGGCGTGGCACTGGGCGGCCGGCCCCAGGAGGAGGAGGAGGAGGAGGAGGAGGTGGCTTTCAGTTAGTGACGTTGGGCTCTGGGGTTGCCGATAGTGCGTTTTCCTCCGGTAACCCGGAGCTGTGGAGCCAGGTGAGGGACTCGCATACGTGTGGCCGGGCGGGTACTGGGGTGGGTGCGGTGCTGCTCCCAGGCCCAGGCCGAGGCGGGGGCGGGCAGGAATCGGGGTGGGCGGTGCTCTGCGGCCCCGCCCCGGCGGAGGGCCCTCACTGTCTTCCCCTCTGGTCAGCAGCTTCCGCCGCCACCTCGCTCGCGATGGGTGCGCAGGACCGGCCGCAGTGCCACTTCGATATCGAGATCAACCGGGAGCCGGGTGAGTCGGGGCCAGGGCGCGATCTCGGTCGGGCTGCGGGGCGGGGGTGGCGTGGGTCTGCTCCGGCCTGCCGCAGCCTGCTCCGGGCGGCGGTGCCGCTGTGGGCCGGGCGTGGACCGGAGCGTGCGGGGGCGCCGCCCACGCGGACCTCCTGGGGCTGGAAACGGGGTTCCAGCCTTGGGAGTCCTCAGGTCTCCAGACCACAGACGCTACTGATCCTCACTGCAGCTGTTAGCGCTGTGAAGTTCCGGTGTTGTCCCAAGCCCAGCTGGTTTCTGAGAAGGTTAACTTCCTTCTGATTTCCGTGCAATTTCGCGATTCCTGGAAAGATGGTTTAGCTCCTTCTGTACCAGCGGAAGTGCGGCGTGGACAGGCCGCAGCGTGCCTGTTTTAATATCTTTAAGAATTCCTTAGAAACGTCAGTCCTTCCTTAGTGTATGCACATACGCACGCACACACACACTTTTTCTAAAGGGGTGGTTTCGGGCGGGTAGGGTTCCAGACCGCTTTCTTAGTTCTTTTTAGTGTCTCCGGCAGAAGTTTTAATTGGAAATATAAGTGGGGGGGGGTCTTGTGTAGTGTTTGTGCATATCTTGTTCTGTAGATTGTTTTAAGAACCTGTCTTGCTCTGGAGACAAAGCAGTGAGATTATATTCTGTTGGAAGAAGGTGGGTACCAAACTAAAGGGGTTAAAAAATGCATACTATTACTATTTCTTAAAATGCGTATAAATGTTTTTTTATATTTTATTTTTATTTTATGTGTATGAGTGTAGTGCCTGCATATAGGTAGGTGCACCCGTATCGTGCAGTGCCCATAGAGGTCAGAAGAGGTCATCAAATCCCCTGGAACTGGAGTTAATGAATGTCAGATGCTGCAAGTGGGTGCTGGGTGCTGGGAATCGAACCATGGTCCTCTGTAAGAACAACCAGTGCTCTGAACCGGCAAGCCGTCTCTCCAGCCACACAAGTACTGTTTTTATAAGGTGGGGTGAAAAAAGGCCATGGAAGGTGACATTTAAATAGATGGAAGAGTGAGCCATGTGGATGTATCTGAGAAGAGCCTTCTTGGTCGGCAGTAGTTAACAAAGGTCCTGGGAATAATACTTAGCTGTTCCGGGTAGCAAAGTTCTAAGTGTGGTTGGAGTAGAGAGACTAGAATAAGGAGAACTTTGACTTAGGAAGACATTAAAAGGCCCCAAATAAAAAAATGAAGCAATCTTACTTTGTTTCTCCCATTGAGTCGTTTTGACCCTGCACCTGCAGTGCCGGAAATTGAACTTGGGACTTCACACATGCTCTACCAATGATCCATATTTATATTCCCAGATATGACCAGATCTTAATTCTCTTATTTTTTGAAAGATTGTTTTGTTTTTATGTCTATGTATGTGTGTCCCTGCTTGTCTATATGTGCACCATGTGCATGCAAGAACCTTTGGAGGCCAGAAAAGGATATCAGGTCCCTGGAGCTGGAGTTATGGGTGATTGTTGAGATGCCCCACCTGGACGGGTGATTGTTGAGATGCCCCACCTGGGTGTTAGGGCCCAAGCTTGGGTCCTCTGGAAGAATATTAAGTTCTTTTAGCTGCAGAACCATCTCTCTAGCCTTTGGATCATAATTCTTAACCCTTACTCATTACTGAATGCATGTTCCGAAAGCCAGCAGTTGTTTTGCTTTGGTTTTTTTTTTCTTTTAAGAGTTAAAAATAGACCCTTGGAGGAAGAGGCAGGTGGATCTCTGTGAGATTGAGGCCAGCCTGGTCTACATAGCGAGTTCTAGGCCAGCTGGGGCTAAGAGAGATCCAGTCTTTTTTTTGTTTTGTTTTTTTTGAGACAGGGTCTCTGTAGCTTTAGCTGTCCTGGAACTCACTATGTAGATCAGGCTGGCCTTGAACTCACAGAGATCTGCCTGCCTCTGCCTCCCAAGTGCTGGGATTAAAGGCATGTGCCACCACACCCAGCCTTAAAAAAAAAAAAAAGCAGACACCTAAAAAGTATACATAAAGCAAATATTCTGTAACTATGTTAAGTACTTTTCAGGATTATATCTGTCTGTTGGTGGTGCAGGGGATGTCCAAGCCAGGTCATTGGACATTCTAGGCAAGTACTCTAACTCTGAGCTATATCCCTAAGTAACTAATTATTGCTTTCTTAGTGTGTACTCACACCTTAGGCTTGCAAATATCTGTTTGTAAAAAAGCTCCAGAATAAGTTTGGTAAATGCTAAATGAGTTTCAGCCCTCCACATCCAAAATCATTCTGATAGAAGTGGCTAGCACTCCTGAGAATACTAGATCATATAAAACAAAGAATGCTTATTTTCTAGATTGAACCAGTTGATAATTGGCAATTTCATATGGCTTAAACTTTGACAATATGGATTGTCTTAAGTAGCTGATACTTGGTTTTTATACAACTTAAAGGATCACTTTAATGTGTGAAGTGTCCTGCTTTGTAGGATTTAATCATTTTTCAAGAAATAATGGACTCTTTGTGTTGTAAATAATTCACTTGGTTGAATACAAAGTAATATCTTTGATTTACTTTGATAAGCAAAGGTGATAATGAGGGATTAGGAAGTACTAATAAAAATACAACACAGTATATTTTCATTTGTGATCAACAGGGATATATACATTTGTAGCAAATAGATCAACTTGAATTTTAAAATCGCATAATGAATGCAAATATGTATCAAAAGGGGGAAATTTTTTAAAAGTTTGTTTATATTTTGTGATGAGTGCTTTGCCTATATGTATGTAGGTGTACCATGTGCATGCAATACTCACAGAGGCCAGAATAGGGCATTAGAATTGGAGTTAAGGACAGTTAGTCACCATCTGGGTGCTGGGAACTGAACCCAGGTCCTCTGCACATAGCCAGGGCTTAACTGCTGAGCTGTCCTTCAGTCTTGTCTGTGCCTTCCCCCAATGGAAATCTTTAAATTGTACATTAGTTTTTCTGTATGAGTTTCATAAGTGGTTCCTGTTAAAATAATTCCCTCACTGTGTTTTTTCTCTTGATTTTAGTCTCATTGAGATTTTTTTTCCTGTTCTATTTTCAGTTCCATCGGTCTTGGATTTTATCATTTCCTTTCTAATAGTTGCTTTAGTTCTCTTTTGCTCCTAAAGGTATAAGGATTTAGTTATATAAATGTAAAGAGACTTTAAATGTATCCCATCAGTTTTGATAAATTCATTTTCTTTGAGCTCAGAATACTTCTAATGTCCCCCTAGACTGTCTTTATTTTAACTTGTGAATTATTTAGAGGTCTTTTACTTTTTAAGTACAGAAGTCTTTTATCCTCAGACTCTTTTATCCAGAATGGTTAGGACATAATTCAGAGTTGAGGTTTTACTTTGAAGTTTGGAATCTTTGTATATCTATAATATGTTTGAGATTTTGAGGCTGGAGAGATGACTCAGCATTTAAGAGCACTGGTTGCTCTTGCAGAGGACCCAGGTTTGGTTCCCAGCACCCACATGGTAGCTAACCACCATCCTAATTCCAGTTCCAGGGAAATCCAACACCATCTTCTGACCTCCGAGGGCATTGCACGACACAGGTGCACTTACATAAACATTCAAGCAATAGATGCATATACATCAAATAAAAATAAAATATTTTTAAAAATATTTTATTTTTGTTTGATGTGTATGTGTGTATTGCCTGTGTGTAGGCAAGTGCACCCATGTTGAGCAATGCCTTCAGAGGTCAGAAGAGGCTTTTGGATCCCCTGGGACTGGAGTTACAGACAGTTGTTAGCTGCCTTGTGGGTACTGGGAGGTGCACTCGGGTCCTCTGGAAGAGTAGCAAGTGCTTTTAACCACTGAGCCGTATCTCCAGCCACCCAGGGTGGTTTCTTTAAAGGACTTTCTGACCGTGGAATTTCTTTCCTTTTTATGGGCTAAAAGCAGTATCATAAATCCTTGGCAGTTTGCTTACATTCACATTACTCTTTAAACTTTAGATACACATAAGATGGAATCAGATTGTGCTGAGAGAACAGGAGAAATGTGCCTTGCATCTTAAGCTCCCTATTAAATTTAAATGACCTCTACTTTTTGAAAATTGCTCATGAGTCAGATAAGAATCCAGTGTAATACTTCCTATATAGTCACATTGTTGAGAAGAGTTACTAGATAATACAATCACCTGTGCCATCGTGGTTTTTGTAACAGGAATTTAATGGGATGGATTAATTAAGGAGCACAATTTAATTAGACTTTGGTTTGTTATAACACAGATAACCAGTGGGGAACTGGTGGTGTGGGAAGATCAGTTAGCCAGACTGCTCCTCTGATTCATCTTCTCAAAACAGTGATTTGAAAAAAATTTTTTATTTACATTTATTTATTGTATGTGTGTGTAGCCTGTAGAAGTTGGAAAACAACATGCTGGGGGGTGGGTAGGGGATAGGAGTTAGTTCTCTACTTCCACCATGTGGGTCCTGGGGATTGAACTCAGGTTGTCAGTCATGGCAGCAAGTGATTTCATTCACTGAACTTAGTTTTCTTAAGAGTTTGGCCTAGACAGGAAGATTATAAATTCAAAGTCTGCATGAGTTCAAGGGAGAGCCTGTCTCAAAAATTTAAGAGGGCCAGATATGTAGTTCAGTGGTACAGTGCTTATCTAACGTGCAGGAGGCCCAGGTTCAATCCCTGGTACTACTAAAAGCAACATTTGGCTTGACTGAATAGTCTAGATAGCTGATGAATAAAAATTTTGTCTTGTTTTTGTTTTTTGTTTTTATTTTTGTTTGTTTGTTTTTGGTCTCTTTGAGGGTCTCTCTGTAGCCCCAGGTAACCTGGAACTCATTATGTAGATCAGGCTGGCCTTGAACTCACAGAGTCCACCTACCTTTCCCTCCTGAGTGCTGGGATTAAAGGTGTCTGCCACTATGCCTGGCAATAAAGATTTTTTTAAATACAAACTTTGAGAGGATAAAGTTCTTCCTAGTACTTTATCATCTCTCTTTTTTTTTTGGTTGCTGACACTCACACCCAGGGCCTCAGACATGCTAAGCAAGCGCTGTATTGCTAAGCTACTTCCCCAACCCCTTTATTTTTTAATGAGCCCTAATTTTTTCTCCATGTTTCATAGAGCTTATACATCTTTGTGACTTATAGACTACTGAGCCACATTGACTTACCTTTTCTTAGGAGACTATATAGTCAGAATATCTTCTATTCCAAGTTTAAAAAAAATCAAATATTGCCTATTTTCTATAAAATTGAAGCAATTAAAATATTTACTGAAAATCTGTCTTGCTAATGGGCTTAGTTCAGGTTAGTAGTTTCTGTGCTGTGCCTTAATAGTGGTCAGTTTCAGTACAGGATTTGTTTTGGGGAGGAATATCTCTCGTTAACCTTTTTATAGGTATAAACCCACGGTATTTCTCCTCTCTCTGATAGTTCTTGCATCATTCAGAGTGAAGAACTAGAAGTATATTTCAGTGGTAGAGTATGTGCTTAATGTGAGGTAGTTATCCCTTGCAGTATCAAAAGAAATTCAGTCTCAACCAGTGTCTGAATAGTCTTAGTACAGTTTCTTTTTTTAATGCATTTTAAGCCAGATTGGGTTAATCTGTTTGTTCTAGGATTTGTGTGAGTATGCACACAACATTTCATGTGAGCAGATATACACATATACAACATGGGTTTGGGCAACTTTGGGTGTCAGTTCTCACATACCTTCTACCTTTTAGTTTGAGACAGGATCTCATTGACTTGGAACTTCACATAAACCAGATTAGCTACCCCCTGCCCCCCAACTTCCAAGGATCTGCCTGTCTCCACTTCCAATCTTGCCATATCTGGAATTACAGGTACATGCTTTTATTGCGCCTGCCATTTTATATGGGTTCTAAGGATCTAAACTCAGGCCTCACACTTGTGATCCAAGTGCCTTTATCAACTAAGCCATTGCCATAGTCTTTGTTTTAGGATTTAAATTTTTTTTTTAAGGATTTAATTTTTAAAAATTTGTTTCTATTTTATGTGTATGAGTATTTTGCCTGGACCCATGTCATGCCAAAAGAGGATATTAGATTCCTCCTTGGAACTGGAATTACAGAGAGTTGTTAGCTGCCGTGTAGATGCTGGGAGATTAACACCCCCCCCACCCCCGTCCTCTATGAAAGCAGCTAATGCCCTTAACCGCTGAGCCATCTCTCTAACCCCAATTCTAATATTTAAAAAGAAAAATATTTTCTTCTGGATATGACAATATTTTTAACCTTGTACCATAGAACTAAGGCCATACAATTCAGTTTTGTGGTCCCATTTTTCCCTACCCCCTACTCCCAGTCCTAACATAATGTTAAAAAGAAGATAAAATTTTTGCTATCAATCTTGTCCCATGAGAGTAAGAATCCAATAGGAGTTTTTCTGTGCCAAGTTAGTGAGATATTTGATGAAAATTTTAAAAAACATTTCTGTTTTCTTTTCTTTTTTTTTTTAAAGACAGGGTCTCACTATGTAGCCCTGGCTGGCCTGGAACTCAGCAATCCACCTGCCTCTGTCTCCCAAGTGCTAATATTGAAGGCACGTGGCCATCATGCCCAGTTTTAAAAAAAAATTTTGTTTTTTAATCATTGTAGTTAGGTCTGTATCTCTGAATGCTAAACCTTACGTTTTCAAATTTATTGTGCCTCTTGGAGCTAAATAACTCAAACCTCTAAGGAAGAAACTGACCAGCTTTCATTTTAAGGATTAGTGAATTTTAGAAAAAGCGGTTGCTATTAATGTTCCTGTGGTCCCAAGAAAATCCTTGTTTTTATCGTTTTATGTCTTTTAATCTTGAAAGCAACCATTGTACAAGGATTCCAAAGATCGTGGTATGTTCTAACTTGCAAAGCTAGTGAACCTGGTACTGGCCTAAGCCATTACAGGCATTTATGGTACTTGATGGAAATACTTTTATTACATGGGTGAAATGTTTCTATGTGACATTACTGATACCATAGATATTCTTGAAAATTTCAACATGGTAGTGCCTATCTTTAATTCCAGCACTTGGGAGGGAGAGGCAGAGGCAGAGGCAGGTGGATCTCTGTGAGATTGAGGCCAGCCTGGTCTATATAGTGAAAGAAAAGAAAAGAAAATTTCTGACATGGATTTACACACATTAGTCATTACCTAAAAGTTTTCCTGTCTTTTTTCAAGAAACAAAGCTACAAAATTTTGAAATTGTTCTAAAGTTTGTGTCAGAGCTACAATCTCAGAATGTTGACACAGGAAGTTTCCTCACATGATGTCATTCATGATTCGACTTGATACTCATCACAGATGTGTGTAGTGCATTAACTATGCTTTTTCCTCAAAAGACAAACTTGAAATGGCTAGAAATAAAATAAAACCTCTGACATCAGAGTAAACTTTTTTTTTTTTTTTGTCTTTTTTGAGACAGGGTCTTCCAGTAGCCCCAGCTGGCCTGGAACTCACTGTGTATACCAGGCTGGCCTTGAACTCACAGAGATCCTCCTGCCTCTGCCTCCCGAGTGCTGGGATTAAAGGCGTGCGCCACCATGCCTGGCTGTAAACTGTCCTTTTTAATGTCTACTGAACATGACTTATAATTGGTTCACTATTAATTTTACTTCATTCTGTCTCTAAGTAAATAAAGGAAAAGATTTTGTAAAATGAGGGAGAAATGGGTTTAGGAGAGAATTATAAATTAAAGGTCCATTTTGTGGGGGCCAGCAAGATGACTCAGTAGGAAAAGGCACTTGCTGCCATTCCTGACCACCTGAGTTCAATCTCTGGAACCCACATAGGGGAAGGAAAAACTGATGTCCCTGACCTCAGCATTTGTGCTATGGCATGTGTGCCACCTCCCAATAAATTAAGAAGAAATAAATAAAGATAAATGTAATAAAATAGAAATGTAGTAAAGATTTTCCCTTCCAGCAGATCTATACAATAAGGACTGTTTCTGTAATAATACTAAAATAAGATTTGCATGCTTAGGAAGATAGTTTTTCAAAGGTGTCATTGCTCACTGCCCTGAGGGCTAATAGTGTGTGCTCATTGTGTCTTAAATAAATTTCTGAGTTTTGATTTATTATGTATTCTAATTATCAGTAGGTATAACCCATATAAACAACAGGTTAGTAATTTTAAACAATTTGTTTTTTATTTTACTATTTTTATTTTTAAAGTGTATGAGTGTACTGCTTGCGTGTATCTAAATGTACCTGTGTCATGCAATACCTGCTGAGGTCAGAAGAGGCTGTTGGATCCCCTGGAACTGGAGTTACAGACAGTTGTTAGCTGCCATGTGGGTGCTAGCAATCGAACCCAGGTCCTTTGCAAGAGTAGCCTGTGCTCTTAACCACTGAGCAATCTCTCCAGCCCCAGGAATTTTAAACAATTTGAAGAAACCCTGAGACTAGAATTGGTGAACTATTTTTCCATGGCATGGTGAAATCACAGTTGCAGATTTGTTCCTTTTCATTACTGTTTATTGTAGGTACTGTTGGTTCTTCTGAGCAACCTGTTCACTTCGGACTCTTTCAGGTTATAGAATGGGAGGATTAGATATGGGTGGTACAACTGAGGAAGTTTGCTCCAAACAGTTTTTACATTAGGGACGAAAGCTCAAAATAGAGAGCAGAAGAACTTTCTTTATAATTGTACTGGGCAGAATAGGCTAGCTTAAGGATGTGCTTTCCCCACTCTCAGGGCTTAACACAGATGGTGGCACACACCTTAAATCCTAGCACTGGGGAGTCAGAGGCAGGTGGATCTCTTGTGAGATCCAGGCCAGCCTGGTCTACATAATGAGTTTCAGGCCAGCTGGGGATACAGGGAGACCCTGTGTCAACAAGAAGAACAGAAAACCACTTCAAATCCTACAATTTAAGGGCTGGAGCCACAAGTTTTAACACTAACAAAGAATAAATGGACTCAATCTCTGGTAATCCCAGCACTTGGAAAACAGCAGAAGCAAGGAGATCTCTGAGTTTGAGGCCAGCCTGGGATAGTCTACTTAGGGAGTTCCAGGCTAGCTGGGGTTGTATAGTGAGACCTATCTCAACAAAACAAACCCCACTAGGTCTCTGTCAAGTTAATTTTCCATTAAATATTTTAAAATGAGCTGTGAAAAGGTACCTTCCAGCTTGTTCTGTTTTCTTTTATATAACATATGGTATGCATAATCGGCTTGCTTACCATTTTTTCCCTTATTTTATTTCAGTTGGTCGCATTATGTTTCAACTCTTCTCAGACATATGTCCAAAAACATGCAAAAACTTCCTTTGCTTGTGCTCAGGTGAGTTTTTTAATTGCTCCCAGTAAGAGAATGCATGGCTTAATAATTGTTTTATCTGTTTCTAACATAGTGGGTGCTTTCATAAAAAATGGTTTGTGAAATGAGTTTTGCAACTAAAATATTTATACTTACATATGAAATGAAGGAAACATTTCTTAAGAGAAAATGAGGGAAAAGAAATCTTTAAAATGATAAACAATCTGCTTCGTATAGTAGAATCTTATCAAATAATAGAAATTCTCAAAATTGGTTTGCCTTGGAAGAATATTTTTAATTTCATTTTTTGAATAAATTTATCACCTCAAATTTCAAAATAAATTTAAGACTAGATAAAAAGGCAAGATATAATACTCTTTCATTATGTATCATTATATATTCTAACCAAGTAGGAAAAAAAATAGAGATAATATTAAACATTAGAAGTAGGGAACTGAAATTTTGACACCAGTACACAATATTTGAACCAGTTCCCTTGATTTCATTCTTTGGTGAAATAGTCATCTATCTAGTCTTACCTCCTGTAGCACACGGTTGTTTCTGTACTAATTTTTAACACATACACTGCTTTGAATGATTTATTTTGATTTGTGTCTTAGTATTGTATAAATTGTCCTGTCATCTGCTTGTATCTTACATCTCTTGCCAATATCAGCACATGGGAGGGGTTTGACAGCAGATTAGTTCACTGATTCTTCCCATGAAAGAATGGGTTTGTAGCTAAACTTCTTTTTTTTTTTTTTCCCCCAGGGGAGAAAGGCCTTGGGAAAACAACTGGGAAGAAGTTATGTTATAAAGGTTCTACATTCCACCGTGTGGTTAAAAACTTTATGATTCAGGGTGGGGACTTCAGTGAAGGTAGAGCTAAAAGTTATATTCCTAATAACTCCATCCATCGGTTTTTAAGATATTGCATTTCTTTTAATTGTAAATATCATTTTACAGAATGATGTGAATATTACATCATCAGTGCATAATTTTTGGATGAATGAATATTATAGATCTAGAAAGTATGAAAAAGTAAAATACCATGAAATTTTATTTTTGTTTATGTAACTTAGTAATATTGAAATTATTTGGTAGATTCCCTTCCAGTGAACTCCACAGTATTGTCCAATTACATCTACTCTAGAACTTTCTTGGTGTGGATACTACTTGAAATAAGTGGGTCCTGGAGATCATTTTTCTGATGGTATTTATTATAATATTTTAAAAATGAAATTGAGTATGCTTAGAATCATGGTTGTTTGTAAGCAATTAAAGGGTTCAAGGTTTCCTTCAGCATATTGAAACCACCAAAAATAACTTACAGGGCTGAGGGTGTAGCTCAGTGAGCTCAGTGGTAAAGCACTTGGCTTAGTATGCACTAGTCTCTGATTTCAGTCCCAAGGACTTCAGTGGTAATAATAATATGGATGGGCGTGGCAGCACCCACCTAATAACACTAGCAATTGAGAGGGGGAAGTCTGAGGATCTTGAGTTTGAGGTCAGCCTGACTACAATAGTGAGACTCTTTCTCAAAAACAAAACAAACAAAAAACCAAATGGGACTTCAAGATGACTCAGCAGATAAAGGCACTTGCTGGCAAACCTGACAACTGGAGTTTGATTCCCTCCACATATGTACCGAGGCACGCGTGTGTGTGTACACACATTAAATAAATGTAAAAAAGTAATTTGCTGTGTTAATTTGTACATTTTAAATGTTCGTTATGGCTCATTTTCAGGTAATGGAAAAGGTGGAGAATCAATTTATGGTGGCTATTTTAAAGGTAAGGCCTGATAGTCTATGTTTTTTTGTTTCAGTTCTGATATTAAAGCAAGTTTGGTCAAATACTTTTAAAAATGAGAGGAGGTTTACTTGTAGTTCACTTTTTGCATGAAACTAATGCTGCATGAAAATACTTTTATTTGCATGAATTTGGGGATAAATTATATTGTAATATATGCTTTTAATTGACAAGATTAATTAAGGCTAACTTTATGGTTAAACATGACTTTCAGCATGGAGGTTAGGCAACTATATACATGAAAACTCCTATCTTCCTGCCTAAAACTGTCAACATATTCTTTTGTTTATAGAGAATGTGGTCTTTTGCAAAATGAAAAGGTAAGAGAACGAAGCTCAGTAACACAAACTCAATTCTGCTCCCTTGTGCCCTTCTTAATAAATCTATGGACAGTCTGGGTCAGGTTGTGGCTGGATTTCTCTATTGTTTGAAGATTCGGAAAATTCTTTGTCATTTCATATATGCATCTGTATCTTTGTTTCTTTTCCAATGAGTTATCAGTTCTACATCAGGGAGAAGAATCTAGTTGTGGTTTTGGTTTTTTTTGTTTTTTTTTTTTCCCTAAACCAAGCAATTTCTTTGAATAAAAGTTGGTATGTCTTCTTTTCTCAAAGGTTTGTATGTTTTCTTTTGTTCACTAGAACTCTGTGGTTGTATTTTATTCCTATAGTAGTAGCATTTCGTAAGTCTAACTATTGCACTTGCCCCAAAAAGCCTTAGAAAAGTCAGTTCTAGGGATTTACAATGGGATCCAACATTGCTAGGTTTTAATGCTTTGGAAGCTTCAACTTACAGTCTTTTATATTTCCTTTGGGAGAAAGTAGTTTTTTGTTTTTTGGGTTTTTTTTTTGTTTTTTTGTTTTTTTCCAGAAACCTGTTCCCAAGGTAATCAGTTTTTAAAGTTTCTATGTTTGTTTGTTCTTTAAAAAAAAAAGAAGAAATGATTTTGTTTGTGTGAATATTAAAATGTTAAGGATATGTCTCCCTTCCAAATACTAACCAGGCCTAACCCTGCTTAGCTCCAGATATCAGAGGAGATCAGGCCCATTCAAGGTGGTATGGCTGTAACCAGTTTTAAAGCTATTTCTCCTAAAATTAAGGCCATCTCTAAGTAATCATGTTGACAGATTTTTTTTCCCCCTTTGAACTAGTAGGAAACACTTTCTAGCTGATTCTATTAGCGTGTAGCAATGTAAGCTTAATGTTGTAGATCACTTTAATAAGGTTGTTCACTATGGCAGATACTTTTGTACCTTAAAATTGTATTTTGCCATTTAAAATCTTATTTTTATAAAACTTGCTTCCTTATAATAGTTTTGTGATCCTGATTACTTTTAATACTTAATTTAATTAGACATTTCCCTAAAACTTAATGTATGTAGTATTTTTGCTCTAATAGACCAACTTGGCTTCAGTGGTATAATAAATTTACCATATAAAACTTAAGCATGTAGGACTAGACATATTAAGTCTTACCCATGTATAGCTCATGTCACAGGTTAATTGGAAATTCGAAGGAAATAAGCTTTGCTGTAGATATTTTCCTAAAAATTTAATAGTTAATAGTTTGTTTATATACATAAATCATTTACCCAAAGTCTGTTACTACTAAAGTGACTATTCTAAGGCTGTTTGTACAAAGTATTAAATATATGTTCTTTTCTTCAAGGCTTTAATTAGTCTCTTTCAGCCCTTTTATGCTTTTGTTATTTGATTAGTTAAAGATTTTTTTCTAAATATTGCCAAGTATCTTACTGACCAGAAGAGGAATTTCATCCTTTGCTTTCAATTTATTACTTGAGCATTACTTTAAAAGTGGTTTAAAATTGTAGACTAACAAATTTGTGTTTTCTTCAAACAGATGAAAACTTTATTCTCAAACATGACAGAGCGTTCCTTTTGTCAATGGCAAATCGAGGGAAACATACCAATGGTTCCCAGTTTTTCATGTGAGTAGGCCTAATTCAGAGATAAGCTTTTCCTAAACAGAGAAGCGCTGTTCATGAGAAAGATGGGATAGCTAAACTCACTTTTCTGCTCACTTTCTGACAACTTGGGTTTTACTATGTCTTTCTGATGTTACATGGTAACTGTAATCTCTAATGACTGCTTCAGCATTCTGCATATGCTTGGGATTTGAAGACTGGAACTTAGCTATAACTTGAAGATGCTGTGGTCATAAGAAAAGAATTTTCGACTTTAGCCTCCACCACATTTGAATGCTCAGTTTAGAAAACTAGATTATATATAACATGTAAAAATTGTCCATAGTATAAAACTAGATGGACCCTAGGCACAAGATGCAGTCTTGTTTGGGTAAACCATTATATGAAGGTTTTTTTTTTTTTTAAGGGTTTTTTTTTTTGTCTCAGCCAATTTTGAGCAAGGTAACATTTTCTGATGAGGTGTAGAAAAGGTGATTGGGGGCGGGGGGGCGGTGCACGCCTTTAATCCCAGCACTCGGAGGTGGAGGCAGGCAGATCTTTGTGAGTTAAAAGCCAGCCTGGTCTACATAGTGACTTCTAGGCCACCTGGGGCTACAGGGAGACCCTGTCTCAAAAAACTGGAAAAAAAAAAAAAAGGGTGATTAAATGTTGAGCCAGCATTTTTAAAAACTGAACTATGTAAGTTCTCTGTATACAATTGAATTATCCCAGTGAAGTGTTAAATTTGCTTGCCTTTTTATTTTGAAATAGAGTCTCCCTGTAATCTCTGCTGACCTAGAACTCAAAATGTACATCAGGCTTCCATCTCACAGAGATCTACCAGATTTCGAAAGTGCTGGGATTAAATGCGTGTGCTACCACACCCAACTAAATTTGCTTTTTAAAGAACAAATATCTTTCCATCTAGCAAGATGCCTATGAACCTGCTGCACAAGTCAGATGATTTGAGTTTGATCCCGAAACCCCACATAAAGGTGGAAGAGTTGTCCTCTGATCTCCACACGCATGCCTACACACACACACACACACACACACACACACACACACACACGTGTAAAATAATTTTTCTAGAAAACATATCTTTCCATGTTTATATATGCATACATAACCAAAAACTTAATTCTTATGTGAAAATTCTGAAGAAAACCTTTGGCATACTTTTAATTATACTCATATCTAAAACTATTTTCATATAGTCCCATCATGTAAAATATGAAAGATAATTGTTCATGAGGCTTAATGCTTTTGATTAGAAGTAAATCTCAGTTGTGCCTTATATGTTGGAGAAATACCTCACTCATGGTTTATCAGAGATTTTCCCATGACATCTTTCTGAGTGGATAAATATGAATGGCGCTTCCCTGTCTTTAAAGGAGTAAACTATTCACCTATAAAATATCTGCACATTTTAAGTTTGTCTGAAAGACTTCCAACATGATCTGATAAAGTTCAGATAAGGGACATTCTCTTTCCAGGAATGTCCTAAAAATGAAAAGATAGAAAAAGATGATTAATTATGCTTGGAATTATTCAGTAAAGAAACCTTAGTTATTCCTATATCCTGTTTTGATCCCATAGATTTTTAGTTATTTTACTTTTTCACTAGAGTAGTTTTTCTATTCTCAACCTTCTAGTAAAGAGTAAAGAGATATAGTTCCAAAACCTTTTTATAGTAACATGTAAAAGCTGTTCACTCTAAGGTCACTTATTTCCATTTTTAAGCTTATCTGAACTGCAAACATGAAAAACTTACTTATTGGTCAAGATGGTACCATCTGAGGGCTCTAAAGTTTCTTTTAAATATTCTTTTTGCATATCATTACATTTAAACTGATTTGTCAGGTTGTAGGAACTTCTTGCCATTATTACGTACAGTTACTTATCAAATGTTAGACTTGAGTTAAAATCCAGGATGTGAAATCCTATATACAAAAATTGAGAATATCTTGTTTTGTCATTTAATATCTGCTTAAGTCTTTTCTAGGAATGTCTATTAAAGGTTATTACTGTTTTCTACATGGCCTAATTTTGTATTGGACTGATATTTCTGAAGAGGAATGTTGAATGAAAAATTTTAAATAAATTAGGATTAAATATTTTAAACTTGTTTTCATATTGTAGCTGGAACTAAAATAACTACGAACATGCAATAAAAGGAAACTACTTGTAACTTCCTTGTGGAAAGGAGTATCTTTGAATTAACAAGCACTCTTGGGGGTTTTTGAACATTTTTTTGCACACACAGTATTTCCTTTTTTTTTTTTTTTTAAAGTAACTTGTGTGCTGGTTTACTGTGGCTGAAAGTGCCATTTCCCAAGAGTTGAAGGTTAAAAATCAAACTAATGTTCATGTTTCTGAACAAAATGTATTTTGACTTTTATGGAAATGGAGGTTGTAGCCTATAAAAGAAAAATCTTTGAAACTGTATCTTATAAATCCAAATCCTTTGGAAATTGAAAGTAGTTAAAGAGTATAATGTGCTGTCTTCAGGTTGTATGTGGCTTCCCAGGGGCAGCACCTGGCTTTCGTCCTATTAACACATTCCTTGAATAGCAGTTACAGTTTTTGTTTATCTGTGTTTTTTCAGACAAGGTCTCCTGTAGCCCCAGCTGGCCTGCAACTCCCTATGTAGACCAGGTTGGCCTCCACCTCACAGAGATCTGACAGTCTTTGCCTCCCCAGTCTTGGGATTAAAGGCATGCGCCACCACGCCCAGCTGAATAAACAGTTTTGAAATGAGAGCTATTTTATAAGGCCATACAAGAACTTTTAATACTGTATTTAGTTTATGTCCTATACATTTGTTTGCATTTCCTCAGGATTCTTACATTTAGTGCATTAACTGTTGTCTTTATTCTACATTTAGCAGTTCTCCTTTCTAAGGCATACACCATTTTTCTTAAACATAATTTTGCATATATTGCTTTCTTTGGCTGGAGCAATTTTAAACACAGATTATATATCACATATAATGGATACATATTTTATATGTCATATATACGGTGAAAATGAGGTTTTTTATAAAACTGCTTGTAATTCTTACCATTAACTTAGTATCTGTTGCTGTATGAGCAGCAGTGCTCCTGTTCTGGGAGCGCATATAGAAGAGAGCATTCTTTTGGAATAGTACTGCTCAAGAGATGCGAAAGGAATGATGGAAGGCCTGACGCTCATGAGTCACTAAGGAACATTGAAACTTTTTATTTATTTATTTATTTATTTATTTATTTATTTTTGAGACAGGGTCTCCCTGTAACTCCAGCTGGCCTGGAACTCCCTATGTAGATCAGGCTGGTCTTGATCTCATAGACATCCTCCTGTTTCACTGTCCCCAGTGCAGGGATTAAAGGACTAGGCCACCACACCCTGCCATATTGAAACATTTTTGAAAGAATTCAGAGACTTGGAATCATAGTTACCAAGTCAACCTGTGCCTGTCTATATTTACTCATTTTGTTGTTTTATTATTTTTTAGGTCAGGTAGAAACCACAATAAAAGCTGTAGGGCTGGAGATGTAGAATGAATAAGGTAAAAGCTATAAGTGGAAAGAGATTGAGAGATCATCTACAGTAAGTTTTTTGTTGAATACTTAAAGAAAAATCATGTAAAGTCCAGAATTTTTATAGAAAGTTTATTTATAATCTGGAAGAAATTGATAGACAAGAAAATAATACTGCATACTGTAGATGCATAATTTCATTAAGCACTGTGCTCTGAATTAAGTTATTACTGTATTAACTATAAGCATTTTGATGAGAAAGAAAATGACATTTGGGGAAACATTTCTTTTTTAACTTTTTGTTAGTAATCTGGTTCTAAATTTCATTGTCTATAGTCATTGAGAAAATAAAGAAGACAAATAAAACAGTAATTAAGAAGATCGGGTAGTTTATAGCTTTTGTTATTAAGTAACTTTTCAAGGATAGAAAACTAAACTGGTTTTCAAGAAGCCTTCGTTTTAGCCAGGTGTGGTGGTTCAAGCCTGAGGCAGAATTGCCATGAATGTGAGAGCAGAGTGAGTTCCAAGTGAGCCTAAGATACATAGCAGAAGAGACACACACACACACACACACACACACACACACAAAACTTGGTTTTAGTTTTGTTTCCTGTGTACCTTATGTTACTTTTCATCTTCCCTTTATTTGTAAAAGAGCCCTACATGTGTTTGTGTATGTAAAATAGCCCTACATGTGTTTGTGTATGTGTGTGTTCACATGTGTATATGTGCATGAGGAGATCAGAAATTGACATTAGGTGTCTTCTTCTGGTGATCTCCACCTTATATATTTTTTTTAATTTTTATTTTTTGTGTAGGAGTATTTTGCCTGCATGTATGTAAGTGCACCACATGTGTGCAATATCCACAGAGGTCAGAAGAGGGCGTTGGAGTCCCTGGAACTAGAGTCACAGTTGTTACCTGCCGTGGGGGTGCTGGGAACCCAACCCAGGCCCTCTACAAGAACAGCCAGTGCTCTTAACTGCTGAGCTGTCTCTCCAGCCCTCCACCTTAGGTTTTTGAGGCAGAGTCTCACTAAACCTTAAACACTGAATTCTGTCAGGCTGACTAGCTTTCAAGACCCAGTGATCTCCTGTCTCTTTAATTCCTGAGCACCAGGAGGATTTCAAACACATGCCACCATGCTTGGCATTTGTGTGTGTGTTAATCTGCATGTATGTATGTGTATCACATGTGTGCTTGGTGCCCACAGAGGCCAGAAGAGGGTGTTGGATTAAAACTGGAGTTAGAGACAGTTGTGAGTTGCCATGTGGATGCTGGGAATCAACTGGGTCCTGTAATAGGAGCAAGTGCTCTTGAGTGTTCAGCCATCTCTCTAGCCCCTCACTTGACTTTTTTTTTTTTTCCCCAGTCCTTTTGAGACAGGGTCTCCCTGGAACTCACTGTGTAGACCAGGCTAGCCTTGAACTCACAGAGATCGGCCTGCCTCTGCCTCTGCCTCCTGAGTGCTGGGACTAAAGGCGTGCACCACCACGCCTGCCC